AACAAACCTCACGCCTCAGCCTCCCGAGTAGCTGGGATTACAGGCATGCGCCACCATGCCCCACTAATTTTTGTGTTTTTAGTAGAGACAGAGTTTCACTATGTTGGCCAGGCTGGTGTTGAACTCCTGACCTCAAGTGATCCACCCACCTCGGTCTCCCAAAGTGCTGGGATTACAGGTGTGAGCCACCACTCCCGGCCAATAATATCTTTAAAACTAAAAATGTAAACGGAAAATTGGTAAGTAAAATGACTTTTACTATTGATGTCAGTTTTGTTTAATCTGAAACTAAATATATAGAGATATATCTACCTATTTATGGATGGATAAGATCATCTCACATTTCTGGAATGCTTTATAGTTTTTCAGAGTACTTTTATTCACTTATCTTCCATATATGTTATCTCTTCTGATTCCAGCAATAAAAGCCCTGTGAGGTAGCCAGGGCAAGTATGTATTTTACACATTAGCAGGAAGAGAGGCTAAGAGAGGTTTATGTAACTTGCTCAGGCTGAAAAAAAATTTGTGACTCTCATTTCAGTGATGTTTTCTACATTATTATAAAATATGCTACTCATTACATTATGTTGATGGTTGAAATGTCATTATAAAGCTTAATTTATATGATTCTCTTGATGAGGATTATGAAGCAAACTATCAACTCACTAGTTTACAGGGGCAAGCATTTTCCCACATTTCACACATGATCTGATTACCTCTGTCGTAAGTGAATAATCTACTATCTGGGTATGAAAAACATGATTTGAAAACACTAAACCACTATATTATTCCAACAAAGAACCATCTTTCACACCTAAGTAAAAAGGAACTTCAAAAAAAAGTCCTAACCAAAAAAAAATCTGAATGATGCATGAGATCGAGTCAAAATTGGGTATCTTCTGTTTCTTCATTGTGGCGAAGAATGTTGCCTGGATTCCTTCCATCTAAAGACTTGATTGTCAGACCTGTGGCAGAACTCTAGATCTGATTTTAGCCTTGGGGAAGCAAAGAGGACAAAACCTAAAAGCTCAACTTCCTGTGTGGTATACAAAACCTAAAAGCTTAACTTTTTGGATGGTATACATGACTCAATGAGCTCTTTCTGCTTTGGAGTCTGTTGGCCAGGAGACTCGGATATGGTAGGGCTTCAGTTCCTCAGAAGGGATAGAATCTGGGGCATTACTCATGAGGTCATGTCCCCGAAAGGACTTTGGGAAGGCTATGACATCTCTGATGCTTGGAGATCCAGTGACAAGGCATATCAGTCTGTCTAACCCTGTAAGTAAAATACAAAGATAACAGATGAGAAATGTAATCTAATGTTGGAAATAACTTAGTTTTCTGTAAAAGTTGTAGAGAACTTTTAAAAAAGAATATTTAACAAACTGTAGTCAACCATAGTTCTCTACCTTTTTAGAGACCTTTTGTTTGTTTGAGAGGTTCTTTTCTATCTCATTCTGGAAAAGTATTCAGGACTAATGTTCACATGCTACTTGGATTGTCACAGTGATTAGCGTTCCTAGCAAAGGCCCTAAAGGTTCCTAACTGAGGGCCCTAAAACAGATTCAACAATATATTTGGTGCTTGGCAGGGAACTCCATAAACACAGAAGGAAGTCCCTATTGTTGGGGCCTACAATCTAGGTGAGCTTTCTAGAATTTCTTACTCTTCCTTGCTTTGACAAAACAAGCAAAGTGAGTAACCGTGGCAATCAGAAGGACACTGGCATATTCCTGTTTTCATACAAGCTGAACATTATGGAGCAGTGCTTTCCAGACTCGAATGAGTGCGTCTGTGAGGCCATGGGATTTGAACAATATTGACTTAAGATCTGCAGTTTTAAGCTATTAATGATCTTTCAAATGCAAATTATCACTTAAATTATATCTTTATAACTGTTAAGATATATTTAAAAAATATATTACTGAAATTTCAACAGAAACTTACATTCTCATAGAACTCTTGGACTCATCCCTCCACCTCTACCAACACAAACTGAGAACCTGAATTTGAGACAGTGCAATGGAATTCAGTTTAGCTTATAAGAGGAAAAGTTGTTTACCTAAGGCAATTCCTCCATGAGGGGGTGCCCCGTAATCTAAAGCCTGGAGCAGATGGGAGAGCATTTTCACATCCTCCTGAAAGTCAGAAGATAATTCAGTGTAAATATATTTTGAAGGTCCACTAAGTGCCACCATCTAGGCTTAGATGATAAAGGGGAAACAAAGTTGAGTTTTAAAACACCTAAACCTGACTTAACCAGTAATAAAAACTTACTGGAAAAGTGTAAGGAAAAAAATTACCTTAAGTGATTTACAGGTTAGCAAGGGAAAAAGACAAGTCATAGATGATTATAACATGTACAAAAATGCCTGGTGTTCAGTAAATGCAGCTTTTACTGTATTCACAATGCGAACAGAGTGAGACCAAACGAGGACGGGGAGATGAAAAGCAGGAAACTCTCCTGTCACAGAGACCAAGGGAAGAGAGCATTACTAAGTGGGCAACATTGTCAAATGCTGCTGGGAGGAAGGAGAGCTTAAGGGCCAAGAACAGGACACTGGATTTGGTGATTTTGTGAGTAACTTTTGTGGGGCAGTATGTGTAGAAATGTTGAAAGTGTGTTTGGAAATGGTTCTCCAACCAGGCTACAAATCAGGATCAAGTGGGAAGCTTCAAACAAACAGAGGCCAAAGCCTCATGCTTAGAACTTTTTTATTCAGTTGGTCTGATGTGTAGCCAAGGCACCAGTGGTTTTTTTTTAATGCTTTCCAGGTGATTTGATTGTAAGGCACAGCAGGGTTGAGAACCACTGTTTAGGGAAGCAACAGAAGTAATGTATTTAGGCCAGGTGCAGTGGCTCACACCTGCAATCTCAGCACTTTGGGAGGCCGATACAGGCAGATAACCTGAGATTGGGGGTTCAAGACTAGCCTGGCCAACATGCAAAACCCTGTCTCTACTAGAAATACCAAAAAAAAAAAAAAAAAAAAAAGCTGGGCATGATGGTGTGTGCTTGTAGTCCCAGCCACTCGGGAGGCTAAGGCAGGAGAATCACTTGAACCTGGGAGGCGGAGGTTGCAGTGAATCAAGATCACGCCACTGTACTCCAGTCTGGGTGACAAAGTGAGACCGTCTCAAAAAAAAAAAGTAATCTTACTGACTCTTGAAAAGTTTGACAATGAGAGGAATGAAAAAGATAGGCTGAAAACTGCTGACTGGAAGCTGGGCTGGGCAGGAGGAACGCTTGATCCCAGGAGTTTGAGGCTGCACTGAGTTATGATCATGCCATTGCACTCTAGCCTGGGTGACAGAGTAAGACTCCATCTTTTTAAAAACAAACACACAAAACCCAACGGGTGATTGGAGGCTTTGACTTGGCAGGAGAAAAGTTAACAGATTTCGGCTGGGTGAGGTGGCTCACACCTGTAATCCCAGCACTTTGGGAGGCCAAGGCGGGTGGATCTCTTGAGGTCAGGAGTTCGAGACCAGCCTGGCCAACATAGTGAAACCCCGTCTCTACTAAAAATACAAAATAGCTGGGCACGGTAGTGCGCACCTGTAATCTCAGCTACTCAGGAGGCTGAAGCAGAAGAATCACTTGAACCCAGGAGGCGGAGGTTGCAGTGAGCCAAGATTGCGCCACTGCACTCCAGCCTGGGCGACAGAGCAAGACTCTGTCTCAAAAAAAAAAAAAAAAAGTAACGGATTTCACAATGCACATCAACTTTAAGGACACTGAAGGCTTAAAGCTAAAGGAGTCATCTCATGGTCTGAGTTCCCCAATCCTGCTCTTACATGTGAAGTTCTATCCTACCTCACACTTGTCAGTTAATCCCACAAAATGATCTTTCAGGACCAGACTCTCTCAGACTTTTCCCTTTCTGAAACCTACCCAAGCCTTCTACAGCATCACCAACAAACTTCAAATTCTTAGGTCTTCCCCTGTACAGACTCTTCTTTTTCTTTTAAAAATCCTGATTACTCCATTATCACTAAAATATATCCCTGCCTTAAATATAGCTAAAGTAGTATCTAATTAAGTGATATAAAATCTTTTCAAACGTCTCTTTCTCTAACATTATCAACATTTTTAGTTACTTCAGACTGCATGGTTTTCATTTGATTTGATTTTTATTTTTTTTAAGCTGCATGGTTTTTTTAAAGCAGGGTAGTGGTTAGGAGCATGGGCTTAAGAGCCACCCCGCCTGGATTCAAATCCTGACTCTGCTTACTTTTGTACTGTCGCTTTGGCAAGTTAAGTAAGTTGCCTCAGTAAATCTCATCTTTAGAGTGGGCAGAAGAAGGATATTTATGTGTTCTATTATAATAAGGGTATTTAATATGCACTATTAATTAGTACTTAAATAGTGCTGTTTAATAGTGCTATGTGCCAGATACTATTTAAGCATTTAATATTATTATTTACTTTTAATATTATTGACTTTTCCAAGTCCTACATTTACGGTAGAGAGAGCTGATGCTTTTTGTATCTTGTGAATCCTCCATTCATAACAAATGTTTAATAAAATAGGCCGATTTAAGTCAGATGCAGTGGTTCATGCCTATAATCCCGGCACTTTGGGAGGCCGAGCTAGGAGGACTGCTTGAGGGCAGGAGTTTGAGAGCAGTGTGAGCAACATAGGGAAAACTTACCTCTTCAAAAAATTAAAAAAATCAGCCAGGCATGGTGGCATGTGCCTGTAGTCACAGCTACTTGGGAGGCTGAGGTGGGAGGATGGCTTAAGCGCAGGAGATTGAGATTGCAGTGAGCTATGAATGCACCAGTGGACACCTGCCTGGGTGACAGAATGTCTCAAAAACAAAAACAAACAAGCAAACAACAACAACAACTCAAAACTGAAAAATATTCTGGTAAAAAAAGAAGCCCAGGACAGCAGATGATGTTTGTTACCTTTAGTAAAGTTGCCAGGATATAACGCTGTAGCTCTGCATTGTGAATTCGAATCGAACCACCTCCTATTTCATTGCCATTTAAAACCAAGTCATAGTGTTGGCTACGGGCCTAGAAGATTCACAGAGACTTTATGTTAGAGAAAATGTCTGGTTTTTTGTTGTACAGGTTAAAGACCCTGTAGATTCTTAAAGACAATGTATTAACTACTAACTCAACTCCACAATTTCTTCTGGGGCTTCCAAAACTAGGTCCTATCTTTCATCAGACCTTGAAGACTGAAGATCTTTGCCTTTATATACACATTTCCTTTTAATTTGGAAGTATAGATATACCTTTTTGGGCTCAGTGTACAGCAGGTGTATGTCACTGGGGTGGGGAGCAGTAAATGGGTGGTGGGCCGATTCCAGCTCTCTGGGATTTTCCTCCTTGGGGAGGAAGAGTGGGAAATCTACCACCCAAAGAAAAGAGAACAGAGTGGGGTCACGGAGCACCATTCCTCTTGTTTCTAGAAGGTCAGCACATTCCAGTCGTAATTTTCCCAACAAAGAGCACTGCAAACAGAAGACATAAACATTGAGTTAACTTCTTTACAGAGCAGGCAGGAAAAGACACAGCCTGGATTCTGAAGCCAGGCCATTCTCTAGGAAAGGATTAGCCAATTAACAGGATGCCCTTTGCCTCTCAGGACACAATGATCTGAGGATGAGTCTGATTGCAACAAGGTTGAGAACAATCATCAGACGCAACTAATGGGGTGAGTACCGAATAACTCGGTGATTAAGAGCACAGGGAACAGCACTTCATAGACCTGGGTCTGAATCTCAGTGTGGCTGATTACGAACTTCTCTGTACCCTTTTTCATTGTAAAATGGGGATAAAAATATCAACTCCAAATGACTACTGTGAAGCTTAAGTGAGATAATGTACATAAGGTGCAGGACCTGACAAAGTATGTGAGTGGTAGTCGTTCTGATTATTCCTCACTTCTCTTGAAGGAGTTGGTAAGTGTCTGGCACACTGTTAATGTTCAGTGAAGGCTGGCTATCACTACAGGTAATGCGGATTAGAGGTCCATTTCAGAGTGTGGCTGGGTGCAGTGGCTGACACCTGTAGTCCCAGCACTTTGGGAGGCCGAGGTGGGCGGATCACAAGGTCAGGAGTTCGAGATCAGCCTGATCAACATGGTGAAACCCCGTCTCTACTAAAAATACAAAAATTAGCCAGGCGTGGTGGCGTGCACCTGTAATGCCAGCTACTCGGGAGGCTGAGGCAGGAAAATCGCTTGAACCTGGGAGGAGGCGGAGGTTGCAGTGAGCCTAGATTGTGCCACTGTATTCATGGGTTAGAAATCCGGCTCCTCCACTTCCTAGCTATGTGACTGTGAGCAAAATTTTAAGCTCTGTGCTTCACTTTTCTTATTTTTAAAATAGCAACAGTATCAGAACTTCTTTCATAGGGTTGGCATGAGGATTAAATGAGTTAATATATACGAAGTGCTTAGAACAGGGCTTGGCAAATACTAAGTGCTTAATAAGTGCTACCTATGCGGTGCAGGACTTCCCTGAGAAAGGACAGCTGGTTAGAACAGTGACATATGCCTAGAGACATGATAGGGTGTTATCTTGCAGCCCATTCTATCTTACATTTATGTCTACATAAGGGACCCTCATTGTGACATTTTCAGAACGTTAATGTTATTCCTCAAAAGTCTGGTTTCTAGCTCTCTTTCAAGTAGGGCCTTGTAGGAATCAGACCTATAACTTCCTGAGAATGAAACACCAGCTTGTTTAGTTCATACCAAGAGAATGTTTAATAATCAAATCAGTTTAGAACAAAATCTCATGTTCTTTTTTAAGAAATGCATTCATAATAAAATTTGGAAATAAACAGCTTTCTTCATTTTACTATTGTAGGAGAAGGGGAGACGGGGATTACATTTAGCTTTGAAGATGAACTCTGAAACTTTTTCTTTGCAAGAAACAATGATAAATGAAAATATAGATTAGAAGAAAGAACTTGATGAAGTACTAGTTAGACACACTATCATTTGGAAAAAACTATATACTAAAGTGAAAAAATAAATTTATATCATGCTTGATCTTTACAGTACTTTTTTAATATTCACGTTTGACTTTGTGCTATACTTTTCTATATTTTACAAAGATTCCTAAAGCTAATTCAGTCTTCCATATCCCCTGAAGACTCATGACTCAGCCAGTGCATGATAGCACTCACCACCTACAGCTGCTGTTCTTGAGGAAAAAGGGGCCCACTTTGACCAAGTTGGTCCAGGGTGTCTGCCAGCCCACCAGCTCTCCAGTGGTCTGATCTGTCCTTCCACAATTTAGGAATGTATTATGTACAAAAGTTTGAGACTCCTAATTTTCTTCATTTGTGAAATCTTGACTCTGAAAATATTTTTTCATGATTATATGACTAATTTCACTACCCCTTAATCTAAGTGGCTTTTCTAATTAGAGTCAGGTCTAATCTATTTAATAAAGTAATGTCAATGGAGGCTGGCAGCTAATGAAAAAAATCCTTAGTTTTTTTTTTTTTTTT